TCAAGTCAACAACTCCCAAGTAAAATCCACCTGTGGTACCCAATTCAATATTATGAGAATCAACAAAGGACGTGACTCCACTAGTAACAGAGGGAGAGACTCGACCAACTCTGACATAATTGTTGGTGTTAGTTGCTCCATTTCTGTCGATGGCTGAAGTCTCCCACTTGTACAGTTCAAAACTCTGTCTGCACTGTCTACTGATATCACATCCATTGAGAGTTCCCTCAAACTGAACAGTCACTTTCCTCAGTCTCTCTCCTCCTCCTCCTGGTAGCACTGTGTTGATGTGCTGTGTGATGAGCCAGTTCTCTTGAGCTCCAACACTGAATCCACATGCTGTCACTGTCCCCTGGCATGTGGCAGTCCCAGTTTGAGTCCACTGGAGAACAATTTAATAAGTTATGTTTAGTATAGCTATTGTCCTTACCTCAGTTACAACCATGTTTGTATTGTTATTGTCCCTATCCAGGCTTTGCCACGGTACATACGCGTCGCCACTTTCCTGAAGCAGGCGAAGGTAGTCTCTGGAGTCCATGAGAGGCCGCTCACTAGCTGAGTACACCGGGCGGATTTCAAAGAACGGGTTAGGGAACCCCTGAATGCTGTCCTCCGTACACAGGTCGCTGCCGTCGCCTGGAGCTTGGCCATGGACAAAGGTCGCTATTGCGAGAAACAACGCAAGTACCACAGGAGTCATACTTCACGTTCGCGGATACCTAGATGCTATTATGTTGGGTGGCTTCGGGTTTTAAATTGGTCCTCAACATTATACGTATGCGCACGTTCTCATGGCACGCAAGCGCGAACCACGGCAAATACAGACACATCACACACTTCACTTACACATTCTCTTCTCTACGTCCGTGCTGTACTGGTGTCCAAACTGAATAGACAAAAACTGCTGGGAGCAGAGTGCCTCCGGTCATCGATTTTCCGAGAGACGTCAGGTAGCCGTCGTACTACTGCGCGCTGTGTGGCTACACGGCCTTTTTGCGTTCATGATACCTCACTTACGCCAAGATCTGCCATGACAAGTTCGGCCTGAAGTCAACTCAGCCTCGTAGGGCCGATAGAATCGTTCGTCTGCTGTCAAACTGCACGCTCACACCGCATCTCTCTGGTTGGCTAAAATTTCCCGGGAAAAATCCCGTAACATGACGTCATATGGGAGGAGAGACGGTAGGGACACAGGGAGATGGGGAGGTGGTGAGATGGGGAAGAAGCAACGCTACTCTTGTCCACTGCTGCTCCTGCGAATAGGTCGCGTCTGGGCGCTGCAATAGCTACGCTTGCTGACTAGGTTCGAACTTTGCGCGCTTTTATGACCGCCATGGCACGTGCCTCCCGGTTGCGCGCCTCTAGCAACCGCCTCGCCGGCGCGGCCGACCGGCCAATCTCACACACGCGCGGCCTCCTGAGGGAGCGGGCCTCGTCTTGGGGCGTTCACCCCCGACTAACCGATGCGCGCGCTCGACGTCCGCGTCCCATGCAGAATTCGTAACTGTGCACTAATTAGAGAGTGCTGAGTTTTCACCGCGCCCTGCCGTATAGGTGGTTGAGACATAGGTAGTCTGTAGCATCTAGAGAGCTGTAAATATATTCCTGCTACTTTTTGAGCACTTAACTCTCTGTTTCTGGGAGTGAAAATTCAAAATGTTTTATCTTTTCCAACCGCATAAAAATGTAGCACAGTCGTTCGCAATATGCCATTTATATTGCTGTCGGCGCCTTTGATACGCTCATGCACCGTGCTACAAATGAAATTCCTACTCAATAAAGCTGCACATAGCACAGTGCTGTTTATTCGAAGAAACCCTCATTCTATGACATAGAAGAATTTTGGCGAGCAAAGCAAGCATATAAATATTTCACGCGTTTTAGCGCGTATTTAGAATCACGTATTACGGTATGTTGGTATGTGTGTCCATCTCCTCTTAGAGATATATATGTGTATATGGAAAAATTCCGCATTCAGACAACTAGGTGGGCTCGCTTCGCTCGCCAATTTTTATCATTACATAATAGCAACAATGTGATAGTCGGTCTTTTGTTTCTCTCGTCATCTCCATGCGGGTTCGCCCCAAACTTCAGCACTGACAATACTGTAAAAGAGGCAGAATTTTCCTTCCTTAACTGACGGCATATCTGTGCTTGAGCGACTCTCATCCACATGAGCGTCATGTCTCCTGTAGCCAGCTTGTGGGTGTGGTGGTGTCACAGGGAAGAAATTAATTGTAATTCCCCTACGGCCCAACCTCCTTTCACCCTTCAATTCATTTGTTTGAAAACCTTTGCAGAGTTATAACGAACTTTCTACTTCAGAAATCAGATACATAACTTGGCATATACAGCTTGAACTGGAGAGGTTGCTATACCACAGTTTACCTTTGGGTAGGGTATCGAGTTTAGTTTCACAATGGTCCATGGTTGAAGGAGCAGGCCCCTTTATGTTAGTAAAGGTGGTCAACTGCTAGGCTTTTCTGATGGCTTATTCTTTCCTTTTTTGCTTCCTTCGCCCTGACTGTAATTGGAAATTGATTTTAGCCAATCGGAACAGAGCCATCACCCAAGCAATCACGTGGGATTTGTTCGTGGTAGAGCTCTATTATAACCCCACTGAAATCTCCTTGTGTGTTGTGTGCCTGTGTGACGATTGACTGCTCAGAGATCTACAAGTGTGGAGACTGTACAGTTCCTTTGTCTACTAGCAACACATTGTTCATGAACAAAGCGAGCATTTGGAATTTTCGCGCGTATCACGTGTATTTAGAATCATAACATAGCTACAACCGCAAGTTCAACTTCTGCCTAGGGACTCCCTTTCGCTTAGCTCGTGCCTACTCGTGTGAGGTATGTGAAGTCTTGCACAGTCATGGAGGTGCTTGTAGCTATTACTGAGATTTATGCAAGCAATAATAGTCACACTGGCACTCGCTTAGGAGGAATGCAGCAGCAGCTGCACATAACACGGCCGACGAATGTGCATGCAAAAGTGGCTGGCTAGGTAATGGATGTCGTGTGTGCCACTACCTTAAGGTTGCTATTAATTGTGGGTACTAATTTTAGCAATCAGCAAAACTGCTAAATTATACGCGCACTAATAATTGTGCAGAAATGAAAATTCACTTAAATAGAACAAAAATGTTAGACATCAAAATTTTCATCGGAAGAGCCTGAGTCATCTTCATTGCCCCTTAGTCTTGCCAAAATAGTGCTAGTAGCATCCTCGAACTTTTCATTGACTGGCTCCTTGTATTTCTCCGTGACCAGCTCTTGAAACATCTTGATAGCTAGCTCATTCTTTTCGCAGTTAGGCATTTCTACGGTTACTTCTATCGGTATCTCGAGTCCTCCTTGCACTAATGGCGATCTTCTGTAGTGAGTTTCAACAACCTTAACTGATGCACTGGCACCGTGGAGAATAATGAAGAGAACAAACTGAGAGAGCTCTTTTGGAAGATGGCCCACCACAGAGTTAGTGATCCGACCTGGTAGGCGTTTCTTCAATGCAATCGCGTATTGGTCGTATGTGTTGGACGCCTCGTGTTCTACTGACAAAACTTCATACACGTTTGGAGACCAAATAGTCCGATACTCGTGGTAGCCTCTCTAACCTCAGAGAAAGGAAAGCCTCAGTTGGACAGCCATCCTTATAGCCTACTCAGCACATGCCAGTGCACGTTTTTTAGAACTCCGCGTAGCAACCACATGCTGCAATCCTCGCTGCCGATGTCTCTCTTTCAATTTGAGCTGAGAGGCTGCCATCCCCGGTTTCTGCAGAGCAAGTAGAAGCCAAGGATGCTGCTTATCCGTTATCCGTTAGCGAGTCAGGCCTGAGCACAGCCAAGTATGTGAGGCTGTAGCTGAGTTAGCGGACCCATCGCCAGCTAAAAAGCGAAGAGCTCGTGGCAGTTACACCAATTACTCTCCTGCTGATCGCGCTCAAATATGGAGGTATGCTTTTGAGAACGGAAATGAAAGAGCTAGAAAGCACTACAAATCCATTTCCCAACTTGAAGGAGAGTACTATGAGGAATTTCAAACGTGCTTACAAGCAGAAGCTTGATTTTCAGCGAAAGCAAACTAATCCAAAACCAGTGTCAGATATTTCCACGCAAGCCAAGGGGCGCCACATTTTGTTGGAACTTGACGAAAAATTGATAAAAGTTTTTGTGCGCTGTTCGTAACCGAGGTGGCGTGGTGAATAACATGTGGTTAGGGCTTCAGCAAAGGCACTGATTGATAGTAATCCATCTGTCACCTAAAGACGTTTAGTATGCCTCGTACTTGGGTAATTTCCTTATGTAGACGTATGGGGTTCACGAAGAGAGCAGGTACAACTGCTCGTCCTGCTGTCCCACAAGGTCTCTATGATGAATCTAGGAGGGAGTATTTGTGTGATATTATAAAGAAAGTTGATCAATGGAATATTCCCCCAGAACTTGTATTGAACTCCGATCAAACACCGTCTTCTTATGCATCAGTTGGTAAGTCAACTATGGCTGTAAGTGGAGCTTCATCTGTCCCTATTAAAGGGTTGACAGATAAAAGATGTATCACGCTTAACTTTGTTGTTACCTTAGCCAATGACCTATGCAAGTCATCTATAGTGGAAAGAGAAAGGCCAGCTTACCTCGTGGGTTTAGCTTCCCCCCTGGATTTTGTGTAACACAAAACCCCAAACAGTCAGGAAATTATTAATTCCTATCACTGTGAAAAATTGTATGTTTCTTGGTGCTAAAATCTAATGAAATGTGTTGTTTCATAACCAATTTCTTTAGTTTCTTGTTAGAGGAAACAGTTAAGTTTCCATGCATGTAGAAACAACCAGGCACGGCATGTTTCTGGTGCTATGATTATACAGTAAACACTCAGTTTTCCCACGTCTGACAACTTCCTCACACACGTGTTTATCTAAAAGTAATAGTTCTGCACATGATGTTTTAACGAAGGGAAATTATTTGTTTCACGTAGTTCCATTGACATTATTTACACTGTTTCATCAAAAAGAAATTAAGAAAATCATCTTCATAAATCATGGTGTTTCATGTCAATATAGAATTTCTTTGAGAGTTAAATAGGTTTCAAAAGTGATACACGAGTTGCCAAAATGATGGAATGATAATTTTTTACGAACGGACAGCCCATGTAGGCACTGACCCGGTAGGAGGCTTTGCAACGGTGAGACCTCTGGACCTGCCTTCACTTCCAAGTCATCATCTTGCTCTTCTTGGACCTTTCTTATTGAGCTTCTGATCCAAGAATAATGAACTTGTCGACTTTTCCGACCTCCATGGTAGAGGACGAATCAGAAAAGAACCATCTTCCTCACTGTCTTCACTGCTAATTAACTCCTCCACAAGACATTCCCTCCACCTTTGTTTGCCTTTGGCAGATGTAGAGGTTGATTTCTCCAGCGCAACCTGTCGAGCAGTCAATTTCTGCATCGCAACACAAGACATATGCATAATACATGACCAGCATGAGCTAGGAACGCATACCCGCTTCAATCGGTTTCTCCGACGCTGCTGAACACACTTTGCCTCATACTTCCCTGATATTTTGAGCTTCTCAGTGCCTGCAGCACTGTTGTAGTAAGTCCGCACAGCTTCTGCACATAAAACAGACATAAAAACGATATCAAACCACAATGCCACAGTTAACCTTTTAATGCAGCAGCTGTACATAAAAGACTCTATTATGACGAGGAACGAGAAGTGTGGGTAAAGGTTTCGGAGAACCGCCTGGAAGAGGCTTCTAGCTGTGCTGCTTCTCCTATTGAGTTATCTCCGCCGGGTAGTGTTGCTTCTTCCGAGTCTATTTCCAAGTTTTCCTCAGAAAATCAGCTCCATTTTGATGAAAATTCCTGTGATATTATAGGTAAATACAAACTTTGTAGTTGTGTGGAGAATTCACAGGTTTTATTGCATCACACAGAGGAAATTGAGTACTGGGATGAGGGTGATTCGGATATTGATGAAGATTTCTCATATAATGAACCAGCTACAATAGATATACCAACGGCCTCTCAGGAAATTAACAAAGGTGAAGAATCTGTGGTATGGTGGGTGGTTGTGTTCACGTGCTTACTAGAAACTTTACACTCCCTACCATCACGTGCTGTGACATGGCTACTCCACTTTTTCAGCAGCCTCTTTGTTTTTCTAAGCCGATATTCTGACAGAATATCCAATATAGCACATGCTTTTCCCTCAACCCTGTACCGGCCACAGATTTTATACTGAATAAGCTTTCACTGCCATCTGTAAACCGCTATGTTGTTTGCCAGGTATGTTCATCACTGCATAGTTACAATGCTGGGTTTCAGCCCCTCAAAAGCACAGAATTTATTCCATTGGTGTGATTTACTTAGCAATCATGAACCTCCCCCGCAAAATTCGCTTTAAAAGGGAGAACATTCTTATTGTAGGGCTTCTACCTGGACCAAAAGAACCATCAAAAAATATTAACTCTTACCTTTCCCCTTTAGTTAGCGAGTTAATTTCACTTTGGGAAGGGGTTTCACTTAAAACCTACAGTGCTGGCACTCACATCTTTCGTTGCGCCTTGTTATGTGTAGGTTGTGACTTACCAGCGAGCAGAAAGACCTGTGGTTTTTTGAGTTATACTGCAAATTTTGGATGCTCAAGGTGTTACTGTAATTTTGGTACAAAAGTCTTTGGAAAGAAGGATTACTCTGGATTTGGACGGGAGAACTGGACCTTACGCTCAAATGAAAGGCATAGAAGGGATGTAAAAGTTACACTTGCTTGTCAGTCTATAACTGCCCGAGAGCAGAAGGAATCTGAGTTGGGCTGTCGTTACTCTTGTTTTACTACAACTGCCCTATTTTGATGCAGTACGCATGCTTATCATTGATCCAATGCACAACATTTACTTAGGTACTGCTAAGTATATTTTACATGCTCTGTGGATCAAAAACAATTTGATTTCATCGAATGACATGAAAATTATCAATAACAAAAGAAAGTCCTGGATTGTTCCACCTGAAGTGAGATTTAATCAATTACCTGCACGCATAGAATATTCATCTTCATTTACTGCAGAGCAATGGATGCTTTGGGTTAACTATTACTCCATTAATTTCCTTTATGGTATACTTCCAAGTCATCACTTGGAATGCTGGCGACATTTTGTTCTTGCATCTAGGTTGTTGTGCAAGCAAAACATGAGTATGGATGTCAACCTAGCCGATACCCTGTTGCTCGAGTTTTGTCAGAGATTTCAAGTACTCTACGGGCCAGAAGCTGTCACTCCCAATATTCATCTACATGCTCATCTCTTAGAATGTGTTACAGACTATGGATCAATGTGCAATTTTTGCCTATTCTCTTTTGAGCGTTTCAATGGTTTACTAGGCAACGAACCAACCAACAACAGGTCAATTGAGCTACAGCTAGTTAACCGTTTCATAAGAGACAATGCCCACCTACAACTGCTTTCTTCTATCCCATCCAATGAAATTGATGCTGCAAACGTGCTGTCTCATGCTGTTCTTTAGCATGCATTGAACTTTACCTCTACACGACATTTAGATGCAACATGCGAGTTTGCAAAACCCCCAACCGAATTTGTACCGGATACTAAGCGTACTATCTCAAGTTTTTCATCAGAAATGACAATGCTTACGGAGACGTATTGTGCAATTTCTCCTAGCTTGATCAATTCAAATGAAAATGTTATTATTCCGCAATCATACCGTAAGATGCTATCTGCAACAGTGAGGGGACATAAGATAAAATCTGGCCAGTACGTTTTAGCTCGCTCTGTTTTTCCGTTTTCTGGCCCATCTTCAATGAAAACATATTTTTTATGATCCTAATCTTCGCCCAGCAAAAATTTCGTTCTTTTTTATTCATGCCATTCAGGTTGGTTCCACTTTTATAGATCGTTCATTTGCCTATGTTTCGTGGCCTATGCATCACCTACTACATCACTCGATTGGTCAACCTTATGAAGTTTGGTGCTGCTCACTGAATGAAGTTGCTGATAATTCCATTATCCCTACAGAAAACATTATATCATTTCTTTTAACTTCACAGCAAAATTATGAATGTGAAGATGTGTTGGTTACTGTACTTGTGCTAGATTAATAAACATTGTGCAGTGTCTCTGAGTTTACACTTTACATGTTTCCTTAATATTATATCCTTATGCTACGGGATATATCATGTTTCGACACTTATCGGTATAGATATTTTCATGCTGAAGGATATTTCATGTTTCTACACTATAGTAACTCACGCATGTTTCTTTATGTTGCTAAAATGCTGAGCAGTCGTACTCAATGTTTCTTTGGCAATTATACTTTAAAGAAATTTAGAATTGTGTTTCTGCACGTTTCTAATGCATGTTTCTTAACATTTCCATACGTTGCTAACATCATGAGGGATATCTAATGTTTTTGAATGAGTTTTCTACAACAGAAACATAAAATCATGTTTCCATACATGTTTCTCACACATCTGTAACACTGAAACTCAATACTTTTCATAGTGTATGTTACTCAAAAGCGGGAAGACTTCCACCTGACCAAAAGGCTTTGCTTATATGGGATATGTTCAGGGCCCAGATGACTGCAAAAGTAATGGTGTTGTTAGATTCTTTGAATATTGAATGCTCCTATGTGCCTGCCAATATGACCCATTTTCCCCACCACTTGGCCTATATATGCTCGCGGTCCGGGCCGCATGCATGTTCCTGTTGTGCGGGTGCCATACACATTGAATGGCATTGATTGTAGGCTATGACACGAACGGAGCAGGTAGATGTCATGTCATGTCGGCCTTATCCCTGTTTTCCAATGTGCAATTATAATCATTGTATACTTTTGCCGTAATAATCCTGTAACTCTTTCAACGTGGATCCTGACCCGAGACAATTGCAGTGCAAAGTCAACATCCATTTTTCCAGCTGCTTTTTACTCTTTTCTGCACGGTATATACGAGCAGACAGCTTCCTGAGTGTTAAAACCACGGTCAGCTAGTATATACCTGGTACCCAGAAAGAAGCAATTCTGAAATCCCTCAATTCTCTGTAAGATGTGTCAGACACCCGTCCACCCCACCCTTTGGTTTATAACACCTTGTGGGGTGAAATACCAATGAGGAATTTTACCGTGCTATGTTTATAACTAGAAAGAGTCTGTGCTTGGGCTTTTATATTTCACAAACACCTTAAAGCATAACAACACACGTCCTGAAATGTGTTTTGAAATCTACAGTCATAGTTTTTTGTAATTCTTCTCGTCCTTGCCATATTATTAGCGGTTTTACATAACATCAATCCATCTCCTGAAAATGCGAGATGGTTGTTTTGTGTACTCGAATGCGATATGCAAGATCCTGATCAAACAAGGGCAATCGAAGTTTTATCAATAAAACTCTTCAAATATTGAAAGCACATGGGCTTTTTACCTGTATAGTAAACCAGTGATGAAACGAAGTTGTACACGATTACTGTTTTCTTTTTATAGCAGTTATCTTTTTGCTGCGTCTGCAACTATCAGTAGGAAATCGGTAGAAGCTCAGTCCACAGCCATTGTGATAACGATTGGTGCAGCCAACTGCACAGCAGCTCTTCACCATTTCTTCGACTCGACCGAACTAGTCTCCTGCTCCATACTACAACGTGTGGAGCTGGAGTAAGGCAGGATTCAAAGCAGTTGGTGAGCGTTGGAATCGGGAGAGAGGGTGGAAGGCGTATACAAGTATGTACCTAAGGGTGATCTCTGTCACAATGGCGGTAATTTTCATGTAATTACGTGACGGGGCTCTGATGTCATGTGCATAAGGTCTATACTAGGCTGTATGTGTGTGGGGGTTGGTTATTGGGGGAAGAAAAAGGAAGATAAAATAGTCCTAGAGTTTGGGAGGCGTGTGCCAACCTCTCCACGTGTGGCTGCCTAGTGGTCCATAGTGTATACATCATTAACTAACTGTTGACCCACATGCTATTCTTTCTTCCATTTCAGGAAGCTGGAGAACTCCTGTGGCAAGCAAATGCGTAGATGCCTGGCACAAAGCCACCAGACACTCAGGGGCAGAACACTACCCCTAAGGTGACCTATACATGCTTGGAAGAGGTCATAGAGGGATTGTTATTGTGATGGATCTCGTCCCTGTATATATAAGTGGGAAAAAAAACATTTTACTGGGATAGCATAAGTGTAATATACCTAGTCCTACAGGTGGGAGCATGCAGGCAGTGCCTAACGCATGCTAGCATTCAAGGGTTCACTACTGCATTACACATGCACACTCATTTTATGCAAGATTTTTCTAGACTGCAAATGACTTATTTTATGCAAGATATTTCTAGACTGCAAATAAGCCAGCTATGTAGCCATTACATAAAATATGTCGCTCAAAAAGTCGAAGCCTATTAGTCAACACTGTAGCTCTATCCTCTGGCCCTGAATTTTTCCTCAGGTAAGAAAATAAAATTCTCTTGCAATCTTATCTTTCAACATTTCTTGTAAGAATCACATTTTCTTTATAAGAGTTTGGTCTGTTTCCATAATCTTAAGAAACGTTATATAACATTTGGCTGTGTTATAAGAACGTCAAGAACTAACAAAAATTTCCGTAAGGGCATGCACCTGTCCACAGTGCTCATGATCACACCCATTCTCATTGCCCTCACATGCTTGTGTTTGCCGAGTTAAAACTCAGCTCTACACATACATACATATGCAGTGGAAAAATCGCTAAGTCTAACAATTTGTACCAGCCAACAATAGTGACCCTAAGGTATGCATAAGGCATAAGTTAAAGAGCATAGAAATCCTATTAGGCAAGTGGCAACTCTCTGAAAGTATAATATAAATACATTTTTATCCAATAGACAAAGATGGAGGGAGGGATTATGAAATGCATATTTACACACGTGCATGTATGTATGCACACTACCCTGAGAAATACATGCTATCTTTCGTATTCCCCATTTTGATCTTTTGAAACAAGTACACACTGTATCTGTCTGAGAACGATCAGAATGGCTACATCCTCACCCTTGGGTTGTGCAAGCAGAGCTGCCCACTAGAGCAAGGATCGAAAGCTTGTTTGGATGATGAAGGGAGGATTAAGTGCAATGGGATTTGGGGAAAGACATCGAATAGTGATGTACTTTGATTGGTGAACTAGGCAAAGCTAGTTTTAGGTCACATTCAGGCAACCTTTCTATTTGTGAGCATAGCAAGCCTATAGTTCTCCAAATTATGTGATTGGCAAACGAAAGCGAGCTAACGTAGTGGTTCAAACAGCGGAATCTTCTGTTTGTTTATTGGCGAGTGAAGCGAGCCTACCTAGTTGTCTCAATTTTATTTATGTGTGACGGGCACACACACATACCACAATGTTCTACGTGATTCCATACATGCAGAACACATGCAAAATATTGAACTGCTCGCACCGCAGTTCTACGTGATTCGAATTATGCGTAACAGATGCACAAACTCCAAAATTCCTAGGTCTTGCATGTTTTTTTTGCTCTTACGGCATGAGTGTTAAGTTCTTCTACATTAATTTTTATTCGTCTAAACCACAATAGGATTTGTTTTTATTGCAGGTACAGTGGCCTGCAGTTGATTATCCAGAATATGAAGTAGAAAAATTACCAACAAGCCATCACAAACATAACATTTTCCCAGACCAGAAGAGTATTATGTGTGTATGTACACATCTACATTGTAAGCTTCTGTGACAATATCAATGTAAGGTGAAATTTTCTATCTGGTGTAAATTTGATTCCATGGTGGAATCCTATACGTTTCCTCGGGCAGCTCTCTTGGAATGGGGTAGGGTAGAACACCTGCATGGAGTGGGGGGAAGGGTAGAGTGACTAGCAAAAAGCGTACTGGGTATCCAGCCAAACTTTGGACCTGAAAAAGTGGCTGGATTAGTGATGTGGCTGGATCTCAGGGTAAGGTTTTTACATGTATGTGAAACATGCATAGGTTGATCGATCCATGGGCTGCTTTAGTGAGGTGGCTGCATTTCAGAGGCTTGGATTAGCGAGGTTCCACTGTAATACACAGTGCAAGCAGCTGAGACAAAGTGTGTCTTAAAGTGGCTACGTGGTTCAATATACCATTCTCCCATGCCTTTTCAACTGCTGCAGTCAATCTCTTCTGCTGTTGTCGACAAAGACCTGGACAGAGACAACATTGTGCACTACGATAGTAACTGGAACCACCTACAATAGTTAGCTGTCCTTGATAGCCTAGCCACACGTACATAGCCAGAGACTGTAAACTTTCTGAGCAGGCCTACTATCATCATTAACCCTCGGCGCGCATGTGCAGCGAGGGTTACAGTAGTTGGGTCTGTGTGTGTCTGTTACTCTTAATCTCACTTCTCGAGTGTTCGCTCGTCTCACAAAGGATACCACCTACTGAACGGGTAATGAAGGTCAGAAATTTCGAATGGTTTTCTCTGAAAACGCTCCATTGCAAAACTAGAGCACTTCCACCATTGTACGGCTAATGCGTAGTCGGCCATTTTTATCGCTGCGGAAAAAGCGCATGCGCTTATAGTTTGAACAGGCAACCTCGACCGGGTCCGCTTGCTCTGTGTATCTTGAAGGTACGAGAAGTCACAACGAAGGGCGTGTATCGACTCTCGCATGCAGCAGTGAGATGCTATCTACTACTGTAAACGCATACTAATAGCCCAGCCCATCAATTAGTGGTACCACGCATGCGCAGTGCGCCGAGGGTTTGCGCTTTAGTGCTCTTCATTATTAGTGTGAATAGGGACAGTTACATATGGGGCTAGAAAGTAGTTGAGGGAAAACAGGTTAAGGTGTTACAGAAAGACAGGCCCAGTGCAGTCCAAACAAATCCCCTTAGGTGTGGCTTCGGAAATTAATAAGGCTGCGAAATAATATTGGGGTTATATTTTAAGAAACCCTTGAATATGTTATGTTGCCTTGAGTGCAGTGCAACATTGAAATACTGAATTCCCATAGTTGGAGAGGCCACTGATGGATGGCGGCATACATCGATACACCTTGTTTGGCACAGCCACACCAGAAAGCTATGCCAGACTAACATACATCACGGTGTATGACCTTTGAACTTCAGTATGTAATGTCTGCCACTATCAAGTGTGACACAGTGTCAGATGACAAAGTGGGCTTGCTTACTTATTGAGGGTGTGTGAGGTGAGTGTTTAAAGCAATGACTTAGCTAATGGGGGTTGAGACTGTAGTGATCCTTGGGAAAACAGGAAAACAATTTGGCCTTCATTGCACGTAGGAACCCATGCAAACAATTAGCATGTAACTATTAGTGCCACCAGAGAGTGCAGTATATATACATTCTTAACTTGGTAAGTGTGTTACGAAAAGACAGTAGAGAGCAATCCTAAAGAGGGTGCAATGCAATCCTAAAGAGGGTCGGGTTGTATACGCTAAATATATAGAACAGCATTAAGAAAATCATGCAGTTTAAATGACCATTTGTGCAGGGTGTGGCCGGGCCATATGCACACTATCCCCTGCATACCTGTCTTACTAGCCTCCAGAATCTGACCAGTATGTGGACACAAGAACTGCTCCAGCAACTCATGGTCCTGCCGTAAAATAGACACATAATCACACTTGACTGTTACATTGAAAACACAGCTCTTACAGTGTACGAAATCTCAATCTCATTACGACAAATGGGACACGGATTACCACACAGTTTAGTTCCACGCTGTGGTGAAGGAAACAATGTATAAGGTGCTGTATAAAGTGTGTGTTGGTTAGTCATACCTTACACCTCAGTCTCGTTCTCTGTAGAGACACAGATAAGGCTAATAAAGAGTGAAGTTTGGCGCTTGTTCTTACTTTGGGTGGAATGGCACCTTTGAAATTTCTTTTGTATCCCTCCCATATCAGTCCCGGCTGCTTATTTTGCCCAGTTCCTGGACAACCCCAAGATGATCGGACATCAAAAACGCCATGTGGATAAAAGAAATACCTGCTCCGGTTTGGTCCCTTGCAGGTGAGAGCTGGCTGGAAGTTGTCCTTGTAAGAAACCTCTCCGACACCAACAGACCAGGAAGAAACCGAGGTTCCAGACCTCTCAGAACAACACGACAGAGTCGCGAAGCCAGCATCCCACTACACATGTCGCACACACTTGTCTCACGTGGGCGGGGCGTCCCAAGGTACGTGCGCAACAGTATAATATACACTTCCGTAGGCGGGGCTGCTGGACAAACAACTGAGCCAGTGAGAGCTCAGCTTAGAGCTCCTTGCAATAATTATGCAGGTCGCCCTTGTGTTTGCGACGTTGGTTCTGGCATCGGTCCGCAGTCAGGAGGGAGTAGACGTGGTCTGGTATATCGACCCGAGCAGCACGGAGCCAGCAGAGACCTGTGGACACGAGCCCTCGCTGCCGTGCGCCAGTCTTGAGATAGTCTTTGCACAGAGTCAGCTCGTGAACGATAGCATATTCTGCTTCTCGAGCCTGGGCGATCAGGACGGCCGCTCTTCAACCACCGTCTACCTCACTGGGTCCGCCTTCGTACCGGCAGTCTGTCTCAAAAACTGGCATAACTTGCGCGTCGCCAGCTATCCACCAGGTTCGTATATACATAGCTAGCTATTTTAGCTATATCGTACAGGCAAAGTACGAGCGTGTCTGTCATTTGTTGTTGCAGGGACTACAGTTGTCATCAATACTGATCGTTTTGGCAGTAGCAGCATTTTCAGCTTCTTCAACTGCACCAATGTGACTCTGGAGGGCCTGGTGTTCAACACCTCCAGCCAAAACAGGCAGAACCTCTACTTTGAGGCCTGCACTGACCTAACGCTCCGCGGGTGCTCTATGCCACTGACTGCAGTCAATGGATTCGGCGTGGAGGTGAGGGACAGTGGGGGCCAGGTGCTGGTCGAGGAGTGTGTGTTCTCTGGTGACCCCACTGTCACAGGAGATGTAAACCACGGCATTGCCTTACGACTGGTGACTGGTAGCGAGTTGTTTGAGTCTGACGCATTGTATCCAGCCATGGACATTATCATTAGGGACTGTGATTTCCATCACCTCACTTCTTACGGCCCTCCCGAGGACAGCTACCGGAGTGCTCGCAGCTCCGCCCTGTCTCTACTCGTCCAGTTCCGCAGAGGTGCCTTTGACAACCGCCTGTTTGTTGAGAATTCAATCTTCCACAATATCACCAATACTGTTGGCCACAGTGTGACCGTCCACCATGACTCTGGCTCCTTCAACAACTCTGTCTTCTTCACCAACTGCACATTCACCGAGAACAGGGTTCGTTATGGAGGAGGTGTGGCCACCTATTTCAGTGGTGGGACTGAGTCACGCAATGGCTCTCTCCACATCACCGACTGCAACTTTACCAATAATCACGCCGACTTTGAGGGCGGGGGAGTTTTTGTTGCATTTCTTGAACAGGAGATCTCCAATCAGGTTTTCATCAGCTCATGCCAGTTTCAAGGCAACTCTGCTCTCTACGGAGCAGCTGTGTTTCTGTTCAACAATCCGGCCTGGTTTTCTCGCCATGGGCCACCAGACTCAGTCGCCCTCCCAATCACCCCAGTCAACATCTCCTCCTGTTATTTCTCTCATAACGATGCCTCCCTTGATGAGGGAGTGGTCACAGCTCTAAGAATCATCCTTACACTGGACAATGTGTGAGTTGAAATTTGGACCATAAACCAGCATCTTAATTTTCCCCCTATTCTTCCTGTTTCCTACTCACTCCCTCTCTCTGCTCCTTACAATCTTTCACTCTCCATCTCACTATACAGGACCTTCACTGACAACAAAGGCAGTGCCGTTCTCCTGAGACTGTCCCTGGCCTACCTGGAGGGTCACCTACTGTTTGAGAACAACACTGCCAACCTGGGAGCTGCCCTCAGCGTCCAGGACCGCAGCCGAGTGAGTGGTACATGTATGTTCGAATCCCACTCGTGGCAGCTCTTCTCTTTCCTGAAAAAAATAGTTGTCCTGGGTGTAGTTGACTTGGTTGCCTTTGCTTCGCTTTGACCTCGTTGTTGTCTAGTCAACTAAGAAAAATATGTTCACATACATATGTAGCTACAATTTAATATTTTTATGTACTGTACATGTATAATGATGGATGAATCAGCATGTGTGTCACTGTGTATAGTGTTACATTATTCATAGCTTCACATGATCCTGGTCTACACTAATGGGAGTGAATATCTCTGCAGGTGGACATGCAGGGAGCGAACAGTGCCTTGTTCAAGGCCAACATGGCTGTCCAAGGCGGGGGAGCCATCTATGGAGATGAGAGCAGTACTTCGTTCTCTGCCAATGAGTACAACCACTCTCTGGCCGAGAACAGGTTTGGCTTCTGTTTCATCATATTTGGCAATGAGGGTCAACCAATTGGAGTGGCATCCCAGGTAGGCCTCACAATTTGGTGTGTATGTGTATATACACTGCCACTATGTTGGAACTTCCTATCCATAATGGCTGCACAAGTGTAGCAATAATGTTTAGACCTGTGTCAACTGATCATTGTACCATTCTTCATTTGTACTCTAATTATATTCATTCATCCCCATTTGCCTCTCCTTTACTTGCCATATCCTCCAGACTTTGCTTTTCTATCTTTTGCAGTTCCCGGAAAGAATTGTGTTTGAGGAAAACTTTGCTTTCACAGAGGGTCGCACTGTGTCAGCCTACAGCCTCAGGGGGTGCCAGATATCCAACTTTGTCCCCACCAGCCTCTCAGACTTCCTGGTCATCTCCAGCGATGGTACAAACCTCTTCAAAGACACGGAGGCCCTGGGCACCACCACAACTGGACCATCCTACCTCTTCTTCTTTGGGGCCTCCACTCGTTGCTATAAGCCAGTGGGAAACATCACCTACCTTTTGCCAAACTGCTCTAACAGTCTTATCAATCAAACGTGAGCATTTAACACATTGCTAGGTTTTCGCTATACAATTAACGTGTGTGTATAATGTGGTTAAACCAGTCTGAATGCTTGCACATGAGATAGAATTCTAGTGCACCTTACTCATACAGATACATATTTGAATGGCACCTATTTGCTGCTATGAACAGGTGTACTGGCTCTCACATATGCTACACGTATGCTCCCTTGCATGGATGCGTAACTAAAGATGATGCATGCACCATCTACATAATTATGCACCATGTAGTGCTTTGCATGAAGGTAAACATACTGGGCCTCTGTTTAATGTTGCACCATCATTGGACTAAGTTCAACTAAAGCACTGTTGTGTCAAATTAAGCAGACTGTGTTTGTCTGCAGGTTCTACGCTCACCCAGGTCTGTCATGCAGTCTGAAGGCCCAGCTGACAGAGATGGACCGACTCTATGGCCCAGGAGCTGCTCTGAGGCCAACAGTGGACAAGATGGTCACCCCCTGGGCCGGGATCGAGGCAAGTTGGACTCTGACCCCAGGTACCAAGCGACTCCAGTGCAGTGAGGATGGAGAAGAGGGTGTTCCAGGGCAGCTCTACCTGTCGCCTGCCCCCGGGGAGCAGTTTGACCTCACAGTCCAGCTGGCCGACCAGCTCCTCAACTTCGTCTCGGCCACCATCTATGTGGAGGTGGAGCACGAGAGTGTGACCACGCCTCCTGGTGTCCTCATTCAGCTGAATGGAATCCAGTACTCTTACACTGACAGGTACACATGCATCTATTATTTTGGTCAGGTTGCTTTTCTCACAAGTATTATGGTTGGGTGTTGGGTCGGTAGCGCAAATGGCTTATTGGGAATTTGCCGTTTAACCATTGTCAGCAGCCTATGCAAATCATGTTTACAACTGAACACTAGTCAGAAGATGTGCATAGCCTTACTCTAGAACCTCAAAGTACCTTAGCAAGGCCTACTGTACTTGGAGTATCTGATCCTCTGATGGCCCTGAATAAATCACAAGTGTCAACACAGGGCAAGTGTACGTATTAAAAAACATTCAGCACAGCACTGTTCAGCATAACTTTATCATTATATATATGTGGCTGCAGGGTGTTCTTTACTCCAAACCGAGCTCTGTCCGGGCTAGCTCTGGTGGGTCTACCTGGTACTGAGGGCAGGTTGCGAGTGGTGACAGCCTCACAGGTACGGGGGCAGAACATTGGCCTGCTCATCCCCTTCAAGCTGGCCCAGTGTCCCCTTGGCTACTACCCTCCTCCTGGAGCTAGCTCTCTCTCACAGGTGAGACCACACTCCATCAGTGATAATGTTCTTCAACGACAACTGATAGCGTAGTTGGTGGAGCGCTCTCCTACAATGCAGGGTGTCATGGGTTGGAATCCCAGCACTTCTTTCTTAAGAGCTGTCCTGGGTGTAGTTTACTTGTTTGCTTTGCGTTTACCTTCCTACCTCGTTGTAAAAATGTTTTTATTAATTACTGAACGTGTGAAACAAAATTCATGCCTTGAGCCATGTGATGTCTGTGCCTGCAGCTGTCACCTAAGGCAGTATAATGTATGATCATGAATTTCACTCGTCTATCTCCACAGGTCAATAGTCTCCTGACATCCGTGTATGCTGACACTCAGAGGATCCAGAGGACCAGCCTCTAGCCTGCAACTGTCTCAACGAGAATGGTCCATCCGACGTCCAGTCCTATCTCAACCCCCATGCACTCTCTTTCCCACACACCTGTATCCGTGGTTACACTGTGGAACTCAATGGCATCTTGTGGGCAGGGGCTTATTCCTCGTGGTGACTCCACCCCTCTCTATCCGCCGTCTGTTTCGTGCCCTGTAGTGCCACCTGATTCAGAACCTATCACAAATGCTCTCACTCGGTTTATCCTAGAGGCTCGTGTCAACACAACCCTAGACCCTGTGGATGTCGTGACATACGAGCAAGGTGTTCACCCTGGAGGGGGTGCCCCTGTTCGTTGCTTCCATTCCAATATCACAGAGCTAGTGACGTACTCACCAGACGGAGATTTCTCTCTGGAGTTCTGCACCCGAGGCTACTGTCGTGGGAGCCTGCTGTCCTCCTGGTTTGTTAGTGATGAGGACTATCCCTGCATCTCAGAGAGAGGGGGTGTGCTGATGTGGGCAGTGTCGTAGTGGCTTTGCAGTCACCACCTACTCCACCGTGAGTGTCCCCTCTTCCCTCTTACTCTCTTCCACCTTTAGCATAGCCTCATGCCCAGGCCGTTTCTTGTGGGGAAACTCTAGGAATAACTCTGCAATTAGCAGTGCTATATCTTCACTCCCCAGACCTGCCAGGATTGTCGCGATGTCATTCCAGCTATTCCTCTCCTCCTCACCCTCATTCTGGGACTCGTGTTTGTTATTGCCGTAGTGGCTTTCAACTTTGAAGCCTCTCCTACAATTGACTCTCTCCTCTTCTTCACACAGGTATATATATATACACCTGCATACACTATATCACTTTGCATACTTTGTGCTCAAAGCTAACTTTGGCTTGAGTAAGCCTATTCCATAGATTACATATCACACGCAATTTAGATTTACCCTGGCCCAGTTACTGAGAGTTCTGAGATCATATCGAGTAATTGAGGGGTTTGCCTTTGCAGACCTACTGCTTTCCTATGGTTTCAAATCCCAGTCTAGCCAGCTCTTGTAAGAAGTGTTTGGAGTAATTGCTCTTTTTATGTCTTGCTTCCATACCTCACCTACTACAGGCTGTGTACATACTTCTTGCTGGAAGAGCCAACTACGACGCATTCAGCTACCTAGCCTTCTTCAACCCAGACTTCACCTTCAGTCTGTGTGTGACTAGCAGCCTCACGGCCCTGGGTCGGTTGGGTCTCCAGTATGTCACCCCTCTCTACATCCTCTCCCTCCTCCTCCTCATTCTACTCCTCACCAGAGTCAAGGTCCGCTGGATATCCAAGCGACTCGGTCGACATTCGTTCCTCAAGAGCCTCTGGTTCCTCATCCTTATTTCCTACCTTAACATCTCGCTCACAACCTTTGAACTCTTGCACTGTCGCACTATCGGTCCCAGTAACGGTGGCCAGCGACAAGTCCTGGAACACGATGCCTCTGTCACCTGCTACCAAGACGGTCATCTTGCGGCAGCAATCTTTGCCATACTCTCAGCTGCCTTTCTCGTTCTCCCTTTCCCATTCTTCACTGCAGTGCTCCTCCACTTCCCTCGCTTCAAGCCGTTCACTGATGCCTATACCTTCATGTACCGCGACTGGCGGAGACTGTGGGTTGCCTGGAGCCTCTTTCGTAGACTGCTGCTCGTGCTCATCGGGGTCTTTGTCACCGAATTTACTTCAGACACTTTGCCCTGTTGGTGGGACTGCTGTGGATTCTCCTAGTTGACGTGGTCACCTGGCCCTACCGCTACCACTATGACAACTTCTTCTCTGTCGTCATATCTTGGTTGCTGGTGGCGGTGGCGATAGTGACCGAGCCAAGGCTCTATCTGAGTTTTGACCCTGGCCGTGGAGTGAGTGGGGCGTTGGTGTTGGGGGGAGTGGTGGGGGGACTGGTGTTGGCCGTGGTGGAGAGGGTGCTGTGGAGACGACAGGACAGTGTGGATGGGGTGGTTGAAAAATTGGTGGGAAAGTGGAGGTGGTGGAGGAGGGAAAGAGGGTGCAAGAAAAAGCCAGATGGGGGCATAGAGGCCAGCAACGTGGTGTTGAGAACCTCTACACAGCCACGATTCCGTGAGTCACTCCTGGAGCAGTTCCCACTGGAGCCTGGCGGAAAATGGGAGCAGTCATCAGGAGAGGAGGAAAGGGAGAGGAGCAAGGGATGGCATTTTCGGAGGAAGAAGCACGAAGACACTAGCTACAACCTCACCATCAACAGCAACAGCAGTGATAGCGTGGCATCCACTAGTGTGGGTGTGGCTGACCTGGACTCTGGTCTGGCCACCATACAGTACAATAAACATGACTCTAAGTAACCACCCCCTTTGATACTAGAAGATGTAAAATGGATTTTAATATCTCCTGTCTCTTTAAAGTGCCACTGGATCACCCAAGCTTTTCTCTGGTTGATGCTGGTCTGTTTAATATAGGGATTGCTCAAAGCACAAGACAATATGCAAAACTGCATAACACAATCCCTCTATCTTTGCTGAGAACATTCATCATAGGGAAGGTGTCATAATTATTATGGTAGTTTGTGTACCTTTTTCTGGGTGCTTTGAGTAATCCCTCTGCGCCAAAAACGTTATAGGGTGACTAGGCAAGATGAGTGGGCAGAAAAAGAGTTGACAATTGTACGTTTCAGGCCTCTCAAAACAATCCTATATAGTGACTGGCAATAGAATCATTAACCCTCGGCGCGCATGCGCAGCGAGGGTTACGGTATATACTTGGTTCATGAGTGTCTGTCTGCTACGTTTTCTGCCACCACGCGCAACGAGACAACAAAAGCAGCGATACCAACGGGTCAATCGCCACACTGATAACTATATAAGCTTACTGCGTTCTAAGTTATAGCCTGAAAAGCAAGTGAACAAGCCGGGCCCGCTTGCTCTGTGTACCTCGGAGGCACAAAAGTCACAACGAATGGCGTGTTATCGCAGCCCCGTGGACAGAATCTCCGCGAGCTACTAGCGTGGTCAGACTCTCCGCGAGCTATATAACGTAGAGACCCCGAATAAACCCCATAACCCATGTCTATTAGCGGCATCGCGCATGCGTAGTACGCCGAGGGTTTGCACTTCAGTGCTTTTCATTAAACGCTGGCCTAGGAGGCGGCCAATTCTGGACAAAGAGGTGGTTGTGGCCTCACTCATGCCGCCCGGGGCCTCAAAAGCAAGGGGGATGAAAGAGATCCCCTCTCCGTTTTACGTTTCATTATTCAGGCTTTTGTGCAGAGGCTTTTGCCTCGGTCTATTGCCGTAGACTCTACTGTCTATGCTATTACATACATAGGTGCTGTCTGGGGATCAGAGTCTGGAAAAGTTTAGGGGTGTGGCTACGCGAGACTACCGCACAATGTGGTAATAATTCCTAGTCGTCGCAACGGGCCGATTTTTCTTCGTACGTCGTTAAGTGCTCATGCGCGGCTTCGTTACGCGCTTATTTTTATTATTATACACTTTTTCACACACGCTACCTCGCAGTATGCGCCCATCGATCTAGCCAGCGAGAGAACTCTCCTCCATTCGACGGCATGCGCTGCTCTTAGGTATACCTCTTCCCAATCTTCATGGTTCGAAGGTGCAACTTCCTAATATGCTAGGCTTACTCGTGCAGATACTGCTGCATGCCTGCTGCCTGGTGGACCACGAGCTGAAAGCATGAGGTAAGTACCGTTCTGCTCACCTGCTCACCGTTCTGTCAATATACTAGACAATTATCTACCTAGCTGTCGCTATGCGTATCGAGCTGAACGGCGACAGGTAAATCTGTCTTGCTTAGCGAAAGGAAAGCTCTGCGCTGACGGCACGTTATGCAGCCCGAACATTGCGGCCAAATCCCGAGTTGGGTCGCTTCCGCTCGCCAACAATGTTCAACATTTACACTTGGAAATGTTGAAAATTTTTTGCGAGAGGGAGAGACCCAACTTGGGATTCCCCCGCGATTTTCAGGCTGCATAACAAGACAGATGCGTCGAATGGACAGGCTGGTTAGATCGATCGGCGCATATCGATAACCAGGAGAGTAAGTATATTTGGTTCTCTATGGTGTGGAGGAGTGCCGTCCTGGTCTATCTAGATCAGCCCGTCAAGAATCTGACCTTTCCAGTGTTGTAAAGGTGTTTTCTGCCCTTGATAGTTCTATCCAACCCCAGTCCATAAGGGATTGCTACAGATTAGGAAAGTTTTCCCCTGGTGCATCTAACCCTAGACCAATCCTCGTCAAATTTGTCAGAACAGCGGATAGCTATTACCAAAATATTTGCAAAAAGGAAAAGTCTGTCTATCCCCTTCTCTATCAAACCGCGTGTCTTCAACAATCTATCCTGATGCAAGAAAGATGGCGCCTGATCCAGTCAGGTGTTATATAGTCGTAAAAGCATGAGAGTAAGAGGGGACGCCCTGTATGTCAGCAATAAATTGCATGGTCGTGTCTCTAATTCCAAATTTGAGCATGCTTCCATTGGCCCTGGTACGCTAGGTCTGAGTCAGCCTAGCAGCCCTCACCTATTGTTCAGAATGATCAACAGTCTGTTGTCACTTCTCGTGACGAGTCAACTACATCTCTTGCAGACAACTCATGTCTACATGACCCACCATCATGCTTTGGCCACACCACCTGCTCCCAACGGGTGTGCAACTCCTCCTCCGAATTCTGACTACACCCCTCTGTATGTTTGCTTAATGTTCGTAGTATAGTTAATAAGTTGCCAAAATTTCTATCTTTTGTGTACTCCTATAATTTTTGTATCCTGTGTATAACTGAAACTTGGCTGTCTGAGTTTATCTCCGACAGTGAGATTCTGCCTGTTGGTTACGTTTTGTATCGCAATGATAGACACTCTCGTGGTGGAGGTGTGCTGATTGCTGTTAGATCATCTCTTTTTACTTCCCTTATATATACCCTCTCCACATGGTCTAGAAGTTAGCTATATGTATCAAATTAGGTCAGGGTAATGATATTATTGTAGTTTGTTGTGTCTATGTACCTCCTGGCTCTCCTCTTTCCTATGTTTCTTCCTTAGTTCATTTCCTCACCGAACTTACCTCATCCTTTACAAAATGTATTGTTGTAGGTGATTTTAATTTTTCCGACATAGACTGGTCTGTTTTAATGGGTACCTATAATCCATCTAATTGTTTTTGTGTAACTTTGTTTGCGATTGCAATCTATCCCAGCATGTTTTTGAGCCCACCCATGTTAAAGGAAATGTGCTAGATCTCGTTTTTACATCTATAAGTGTTGTTTTAAATGATCTAATAGTACACCCCCTATCTGTTTTTGACTGCTCTGATCACTATGCTGTAAGTTTTGATGTCTGTTGTAATGTTTCATCTGCAGCCGAATGTTCACCTGCTTATGTTTTTGATTTTTGTAAAGCCGACTATGAGAGCATTTCTTCTTACTGATTAGAGTCTGATTTCAGTATTGTGTTGGACAGCTCCAACATTGAATTCAATTGGTTTTGTATCAAGTCTTTCATTTATAAAGCCATGTTGTTATACATCCCAACGAAACTAGTTAAGCGGTCGATCTCCTCTGAAGTAAATGGGGTGTCCAGGACAAAGTCTTCATTCTCCCTTGAGCTGTGCACGAGATGAACCAATTGCTGTTCCGCCTCCAGGAGTAGAGGAGAGTGGTCTTGCATTGGGCATCCACTGATTCTTTTGAAGTGGTCCTCCCAGGCATTAAGTATGGTAGGAAGATCAGAGCAAGACGAAGTGTTGAGCCATGGTTAGTCGACTTTGATGTCCTAAAGCGGTTGGAACATTTCTGTTTGAATTTCTGATCAATTTTCTGAAGTTTAACTCTCTCAGCATTTGCAGCGCAGATGTTCATCCTCTTTCTGAACTCGGTGCGAGACCTGATCTTCTCATCATAGAGAGGACCTGCTTGTGGGCGTCCGCTAGAAGACCATTTATCCCAAGTAACTTTCTTACGTGCTGCAAGGAGAGAGAGTTCCGGATCTTTAAACCACTTTTTCTTCTTTGTTGTTGGTGACAAGGTGGGCAAGGCTTGGCGGGCTGCCTGGACCAGCTGCGGGGATTGTCTAGTTTTTTGGAGAATCGTACATTCTTCCTAGCAGTGGATGGACTACTGACGACACTATGATAGGCACCCACACACCCTGTATAACGAGCTTTGACCCAGTCGATCATTTGATCCTGCAGTGAATGATGGAGTCTGCGACTCTCTACAGGGATTTGGAGAACATTAGAGATTGGAAGATGATCATAAGTGTTAAGGGGTGAAAGTTCATGTGTAAAACAGCTGTGTATAAATTGTGAGGCCTGCAGACAACCGATTATGTAGTCCACCAAGGTTGGAGTTAGGGAATTCCAAAAGGTATACACTGATGCTGGAGAGAAAGATTACATAGAAATCACATCGATTAACAAGCTGCTGTAACAAAACACCTGCTGGTTAGGGGTGCCTAGTCCCCTGGAGGACCCAGGGGAGCATTGAAGTCCCTGGTAATCAGGACAGGACCATGACTTGAGCTAGTGGATGTTTATAAGTTGCTCTAGTTCAAGTAGGGCACTACAGTAACCATCCACACCCTGGTCGGCACATGGGAGATACACCCCAAGTACTGTGATGCACGACGGTTCAGGTGAAGTCAAATCAACCCATATACCGCATATGCGATCACTTGATATGTTGGAGATTGGAGAGACGTTGAGCGACTTCCGAAACATAACCCCACCCCACCACAACCTCTAACCAGATCAGACTTCCCATTTAGTCTAAAATCTGTGGAACATTCGGCGGCAAAGGCATCACTAAGCCGTTTAGCAGAGTCAGTGCTCGGTGACAACAATAATATCTGAGCCATCTTCGGCCAGCTGATG